CCAGGCCCAGAGTTCAAGCCCCATGACCGACCAAAAAAAAAAATTAGTTATTTATTTTTTGTCAGTCGTGGGGCTTGAACTCTGGGCCTGAGCACTGTCCCTGGGCTCTTCAGCTCAAGGCTAGCTCTTTACCACTTGAGCCACAGTGCCACTTCTGGTTTTCTAGTGGTTTATTGGAGATAAACCACTGGCTGGCTTTGAACCGTGATCCTCAGATCTCAGCCTCCTGAGTAGCTAGGATTACAGGCATGAGCCACCAGTGCCCGGCTTCAAAAAATTTATAGAGACAATTTGAAATATGGATTTCAAACACTTTTACCAGCCTTGAGATATTTCTTGAACACAGTGGTTTTCCTTTAGCTTATTCTTTGGGTAATGGGGAGAGCAATAATCGACCCATGAATGGCTTGAAAAAGAGAGTGTGTTTCTCCTAGCTTGGGCGACTCTGTGGGGTAGGGGAACATTAAAGTCCTATCAAGGCTGGTACCTGTAATCCTAGCTATTCAGGATGCTGAGACTTAAGCATGGAGATTTGGAGTCAGCCCCAGCAGACAAATCAACAAGACTCTTATCTACCCTGGTGGTGGCTCACACCTGTAATCTTAGCTACTCCTGAGGCTGAGATCTGAGGATTACAGTTTGAAGCCAGCCCAGACAGAAAACTCCCCAAGAGACTCTTATCTCCAGTTGACCATTCAAAATCTGGAAATCGGCTCAAATGATAGAGCACTAGCCTTGAGCACAAAGAGGCTCAGGGACAGCACCCAGGCCTCAAGTTCAATCCCAAAATCGGAAGAAAAAAAAAAAGACTCATCTTCTATTAGCCAGCAAAAAGCTGGAACTAGAGGTGTAGCACCAGCCTTGAGAAAAAAAAAAAAAAAGCTAAGCAAAAGCATGAAGCCCTGTTCAAGCCCAGTACTGGAACAAAAAAGAAAGGGGAAGAGGGAGGGAAGGAGGAAGGGAAAGGAGGAGGGGAGAAGGAAGGAAGGAAGGAAAGAAGGAAGGAAGGAAGGAAGGACATAAATAAATCATTGTCAGGACAAACACCATTCTTCATTCTATTTTCTGTAATAACTTGCCACAGCAGGTGAAGTGGAGCCCTGGTAGGGACTGCTGTCAAAACCTTTCAGCTCATTATCTCATTTTGTCTTAGACTCCCCATCCCAGCCCGCCATCACTGAGCAACCTGTAAGTCAGTTAATGATAACATCGTAAGTTAAAAAAAAAAAAACAACAACAACAAACTACTGAGCACGGACTGTATACCAGAAGTATTATACACTATCTATCTGACCCTCAAAACAATCCTGCTAGAGAAAATGACAGCTCCATCTCCTACATGAGAAATGGAGGCACCAATGTAAATAATGCACTCAAGGCTATATGGCCAGTAAGTAACAGAGTTGCCACTGGGCCCCAGTTTACAAGATATCACCTAAAGCTTTGGCTTGCCAATGACTTCATTCTCTCACTTATTAGTAACATTAAATAAGACTCAATTTCAGTCTCCATCCATCTAGGGCAGAGCACATTTCATTATTTAAAAACATACAAAAAGCATTGGTGGCTCATGCCTGTAACCCTAGCTCCTCAGAAGGCTGAGATCTGAGGATCGATGTTCAAAGTCAGCCCACGCAGGAAAGGCCATGAGACTCTTATCTCCAATTAACCACCAGAAAATTTGGAAGTGGTGCTGTGGCTCAAGTGGTAGAGCACTAGCCTTGAACTGAAGAGCTGAGGGACAGCGCCCAGGCCCAGAGTTCAAGCCCCATGACTGACGGAAAAAAAAAAATACAAAACGATAGTCCTGATAGAACAATATTGTGTGTTCACTGAAACGAAGTAGATATAGCTTTTATTTTTCAAGCAGACTGTGTACATTTCAATGATTATGTGTTGATTTTGCCTTTCATACTAGCTTAAGAGCCAGCTTTTAAAAGTGAATGAGTGTTGGGATCATTTTCCTTACCAGAGCTAACTGAAGCAGATTATTTGTGAAGTCACTAGGGGGTATGTGTGAATCATCTCCAATTTAACAGGTTAAATTTGCAGATCTGAGAGATATTTTTGTCTTACTGTAACAGAAGGGCAAAAATCACTTTAAAAACTAGCGACTCAGGCAGGAGGCTTAGATCTAAGGATTGCAGTTTGAAGCCAGCACAGGTAGAAAAGTCTGTGATAGTTCTATCTCCAATTAACCATCAACCCCTACCACCCAAACAACAACAACAACAACACAAGCCCCAACAAACTGGAAGTGAAGCTGTGACTCAAGTGGTAGAACACTAACCTTGAGCAAAAATCTCTGAGGGACAGTGACCAAGCTCTGAGGACTAGTGCGCGCACACACACACACACACACACACACACACACATCTACTTACACTATTCCCTTAAGTCTTTTTCAATCTCATCTTTCTGAATAGTAGAGTATATTCAGGTGTAAGAATATTAATAGAGTCCACTTAGGCAGTCTTGTTTCCATCCTTAGACAAGTATATACATCAAATCCTTGCAGCAACTCTATGGAAGTCTTCACCATCACCATTGGCAGCAGCATGTTATATTCAAGTAAAACCAAGTCAAAGAGAGCTGAGGTAAAGTATCTTATAAGCCTACCATTTAGGAAATGGCAGAGTGGGTTTTACCATCTGCCTCAGAGTCCTGTGCTTTAACCCATTACACCTGCACACCAAACTGCTATGCATGTGCTATGCACACCAATTATTTTGAATGCTTCCTGAACTGTTGCCCACTTTAGAATGGAGACTGAGCATGTGGGTTTTTTTTTTTCTTCTAAGAAGATGTAATGTTTAAGAAAAAAAACCACAAAGCATTTCAAACACGGACAAAACAGAAGATAATATAGCAAATGTCTATGACCCTCACCCAGAAGGAACAATATTTCCCTCCCTCCCTTCCTCCTTCCCTTTCTTTTCTCTCTCTCTGTCTCTGTTTCTTTCTTTCTTGTGTTTGTGTGCTAGTAAGCCCTGTTCTTGAGCTTTTTTTTTTGCTCACAGCTAGCACTCTTCCATTTGAGCCACACCTCTACTTCCAGCTGTTTGGTTATTAATTGTAGATAAGAGTCTCTTGGACTTCCCTGCCCAGGCTGGCTTCAAATCTCAATACTCAGATCTCAGCCTCCTAGATAGCTAGGATGACAAGCATGTGTCTGGCTTTAACTCTCTTTGTCTTCTGCTTCTACT